GGGGGGGGGGCGTCCGCGAAGCACTGCAAGGTCTGCTTCAATCACCGTTACGGCGGGGGAGGGAAAGGAAAGGGCTGGGGGGCAATATGGGCTACTGTGCGGGGCCGGGCGCACCGCACCGGGCGGGGGAGGAAACCCGACACTTTAGGCCCGCGTGGTAGCCGCCGAGCACAGACAGGGAGGCAGACAGCGGACAGAAAAACAAAGGCCGCGCGGACTCACTTTTTTGTAAATGGTGTCGGCGGCGTCAGTGTATTGTTTCTCCGTCATTCAATTCATTTCGGCCAACATTTGTTCGGGTTTGCTTTCAATCGCTATAGTTTTTAAGTATCGTCAAAATTTTGTGTCTTTTTGTGTTTAAAAATTTCGCGGTCCTTTTATTTTTCTTCTTCTTCTTTTCGGATTAGTGGGGGGAGGGGGCGTTGCCGCGCGGACAGGCCGGAGAGGGATGGAGGACGCGGGTGCTGCCGGTGCTTTATCGCGGTCTCGTTTGTGGCGGAGCGGGTGGAGCGAGTATAAATGGAAGGCGCCGCCGTCGCCGCGTTGTCGCCGTCCTCGTCCAGTATCCGGGGCGAAGCCGATCCGCCTCGGTACGACCTGCTGCCTCTGCAACCGCATCATTCGCATCATCGCTAGCAAAAACAAAATAAAACATAACGAAAAGAATGATTTTTTCCATACCCAGCAGAGAAGTGAAATGATATTTTTATTTTTTGTAAAAAATAAATATGAAAGATGAATTTTGGGGGGCGGAAGCTTTGTACAAGGGGAGGAATAAGGACAATGGATGAAGGAGGCACGGCGGTGGGGCTGGCACCGGGCTGCTGGATGCCGTGGAATTGCGGACGCAGCCAATAATTGTGCTGGGGCCCGGGTCGGCACAGGGCGGGCTAGCAGGAGAAGCGGCCTTTGTGATTAGTATTCGGAGCGCGCGTTCGATACGTTTCGTTTGATCGGCTGTGGTGTGTTCGCCCCGCGCCCTCCGCCCTGCTGCCTGCCTGCCTGCTGGCCTTCCCTTTCTTCTCTGCCCCCGCGGGGCTGCGGGGGCTCCCTCCCTACCCCTCCCTTCCCGTATACCGCCTGACGTGAATATGCGAAACTCTCGTATACTGCCTGACTGAAGCAAGAATAAAATGTGGTTGTGCAATGTCACATATAACTTTCCGAGTACACAGTCACAGTCACATTCAAACCGCGTGATAATCGCATCACAATAAAACAGAAAGGTCTGGGGCAACAACCCCGTGTGTCACGCCGCCTCCTATACAAGTGTGTTTACAACCGCGTCACAACGGCGGTATGGTCGTTCAGAGTGCGTGACGCGACGACTTTACCCGTTCGTGACGCTGCTCTGAAGAGCCATGGCTCGCCTCTGAGCCCCGCTGATGCTGCTCATCCCCCGCTGATAAGTGCTGCTCATCCCTCGCTCACCATCGCAAGTTTTATGCCAGGCGCCACGCCCTCCCCTGGCTATCCTGCCGCTGACAGCTGTGACAATGTTTTCTCTCCCTTTGTTCCGGGGGGG